TCAAATGAAAGGTCTCGATGAGTGTAACATCGGGGTGAGCTTATATCTTTAAAAATTTCAATATTTCACAAGATAAAATGTAATTTCTTAATTATGTATCTAGAGATAGAGCATTTTCGAATACAGTCCAAATTCTTATCATAATAAATTGACTATCGGTGAGAATGATAAGAAACCTTGAAAGGGCACAAATTCAAATCAAAACCTTTGCAATGACACTAAATTTCACTAAAAAAATCAATTTCATCATATGAATATTCTGGACACAAAATTTTTCTTACTCTCTTAATAATATAGATTTCAATTCCAGTCGGACATGTTGATGCATTATGTATATTCTTATAGATAGTGAAAAGAGTGAGTCAAACGGCAATACAAAATAATGTGGGTTGACATTCGCACGAATCAACTTGGCTTGATTAGCATACAGTATCTTTGTACGGTCTAGAGTTTGTGTTAGTGAGTAGTTGTGTGAGGCTATAATTAGATTGTCGCTCTTGACGGGCTACTAAGTGGGATACCCCCGATACAATATACAATGTGTAACGTGAACGAGTCTACAGAGATAGACGGATAGATAAAATACTCGATAGTTAAAACCAGTACATAATACTTCTACTTATATACACATATTACATATAATAATTTGTTCTTGTATGTAATTACATAGATAGATATACATATATGTAATATGTGTTACACATAACGTATGTATGTTGAATCATGTGTAAAGGTAAATAAAAATGAAAGAGAGACGTTCGTTGAATGTTTATTCATCGTGTTTGTTGGATCCAATCGCATTTAACTTGATTTTGTTGATTTGCCAAAATTTTTTTTTTTCGCCTACGCTTTACGAGTAGAATGTCAATTAAATACTGTAAATTTATTTTAAATTTATTATGACGTTTACTTATAAAAATATAAATAGATTTACGGGGAAGGTTTATTTATATCATTTATTTAAAATATAAATCTTTGATTTTTAATTTTTATTATTTTTTCATTAATTAACTTACACTTTTAATTGGGATTAAATTTTTATAACTTATAAAAAATATTTTAAGACTTAAATTATAGTCTATTTTTTAAAAAGTTTTAATTATAATATCTTTTAATAAAATATTAATTAACAAAAGAAAATTAAAAAAGAAAAAAGTATTTTATTTTTGTAAAAAATTCAAGTATAATTCAAATGACTATAAAAAATTTTTATTTGTTATTAATATAATCAATTAATTACTTGATCAAAAAAAAATTATAAATTACTTTAGTAATAATAATAATAATAATAATTATGATAAATAAATAAATATTAAGGCTCTGACTGTACAAACAATTAATTTATTAATTTAAAAAAAAATTCTTGAGTTAAAATTTTTTTTTTAATTTTTAAACAATAAATTCTTGAAAATTTAGTAATATTTTAAGAGACAAAAAAAATTTAATAAAATAATTAATCTAAATAATTCATTAAAATCACTTACTCATTTTTATTGAAAAAACGAAAAAAAAAAAAAAATTCAGTAAATAATAAAATAAATTTAATTGGTTCAGTTTGCGAATATTTAAAATTAGTTAAAAAATTTTTTTAGTATTTGAAATAAGAGATTATTTATTAATTAAATTAATATTAAGATCAATATTATTTTATAATGGCAGTATTGATTGAAGTAGGTACCTTATGTTTCGCAGAGAAATATGTCGACGGCCTCGGCGCCGTGGAGTAACTTTATAACACTGCCACCACCAGGAAGCAGAAGTCACGGTGCGCCTACCCCATCACATGCGGGACTACCTTCACATGGTCACCATCATCCTGGTCCCGGTGGAGCCGCGCATCCCTCACAAGTTGCGTCTCAGCAGCAGCAGCAGCAACAGCAACAGCAGCAGCATCACCAACAAGAGCGACAGAGGCGTGAACGTGAGGAGCATGATGCGCGAGAACGTGAACGTGAACGTGAGCGAGAACGTGAACGGGAACGAGAACGTGAACGTGAGCGTGAACGAGATGTTCAAGCTAGAGAGCAGCGGGAACGTGAGCGTGAGCATCTGGTGGCTGCTGAGCGGCTACATAGACAAGCTGAGGCTCGTGAGCATCAAAGAGCTGCTGCGTATTATGGAGCTACTGCCCCATCTACTGCTCAACAGGTAAATATATTTTATTTATTATTAATGAGATTTAATTTTCATCAAATTTTTCGACAATTTAGATTTTAAAAAAAATGTTGAAATGATTTTTAAGTTTAAAATATTATTAATTTTTTTGGAAATTAATTTTGGTAATAAAATCAGAGTAATTACATTTTTTTTAAGATTCACTTATTTTTTTTTAAGTCATAAAATTTTGAAAAGTTGAAATTTAAAAAAAAAATGTTTTTTTTTTTATAAGAAGAAAAATAAGTATATAAATAAATTAGATTAAAAATTTTCATGATATTGAATTTAACAATTAAATTAAAATGAAAAAAATTCCTCATGTAAAAATTAAAAAAAAAATCCATAAGTGCGAATTTAAAAACATATTTTTTATAACAGTTGATTGGTTATAAAAATTCCAAGAATTGTTAAATGCCTGCTAATTTCAGTATCATAAATTTTCACTTAGCATTTTACAGAAAAAAAAGAATTTTATGACTAAAAACAATAATAGTCTCTACTTCCTTTATTTATAAGAGAATAAATTATCACTTACTAATAAACAATTTATTTTTAGGTATTACGATCGTCAAGTGTACCAAGCAAAGTTGAGTACCCACCACCTCCAGCGCATTCTCGTACCTCAAAATCATCACTGTCAGTAGTAAATTTACATGACAAGCAGCAAGTAGTGGGACCTCCACACAGCCTTCCAAAAGCCGAACCAAATGTTAGTTTGTTCACCTACCCAGCGTACACAACCTCCCAAATGCCGTCTTATGTCCACGACATAAAGGTAAAAAATGATCTCCAATTAAAAGCACTACCAGGTAAGAGTCTCGGTAGTCATGAACGAGATCATCACGGCCGGGAGTTGTCGCAAAGTCAGCCCCCCTCATTACTATCAGACCACAAGAGCTCGGTAATAGTAAAAAATGAGCAAGGTCGTGGAGGAAATGACCTCTCAAAAGTACCACCACCCCACTCGTCGAGTCCAAAGATGATGTCTTACATGGTGCAACCAGTGGCACCACCCCAAGGACCACCACCCTCCAGCCACAAAACTCCCGTAACTTACGAGTACCGGAGTCCAACCCAGAGCCCGCATCACCTGCATCACCTAGAAAGCTTGCAGGCAAAAGGATTACCGAGTCACCACCGTTCGCCAGCTGGACACACTCAGTCGCCTCACGGGCATTCGTCGTCACATTCGCACAACCGTCAGTCGCCTCACAGTCAGCCTCATCCCCATCAAACGCCCCACCCATCACCACCAGAGCCACGTTACCTCAGCAGGCCTGAACCCGGATTGCTCTACGCATCATCAAAGCCCTCATACTCGTACCCCCATCAACCAAACGCCTCACCGACCTCTCACTACGCCGCACCACCGGGTTCCAAGCCAAAAGTGAGCAGCCCAGCGCCGCCTCACATCTACGGGAATCCAGGAAACCCCGGTATCTTAACCGGAACACCAGTGTGTCGTGCGTCTGAGCCAGCAGCGCCAGCCCCGTTGCCACTGACGTCAAAGGCTCCAGGTAGTTCGCCTTACCAGCAAGTGCCTCATCATCACGGGGTGCCACCATCCAGGAATTTACCGCCTCCAGCAGCACACAGTCGCTCTCCGTACGATTCACGTGGCTTTCCAGTTGGCTCTCCGTTACCTTCGTCAAAATTGCCGCCTCAGTTGCACGGATCTCCTCCAACTGTAGCCTCAGCGCCTCTATCACGTCCCACGGTAACGCATCCGTCGCACCACGTGAACAATCCACATCAACCTGGTGGCCCAGCACCGTCGTCGTTGCAACAGCAACAGCCACCAATGGTTGTTCCGTCGTTTCAAACTCAACCATTGGATCTGGGTGTTGAGCGTTCAATCTCACCGAAGCGTAAAGCTTCCACACCGACTGATCATCTAGGTCAGCCTGTCTCTCTAGAGATTAAAAAACGACGTACGGAAGAACCACCCACTCCTTTATCCCTACAGTGTGTTGGACCGCCTGTACTGTCTAGGGTGAGTGAACCAAGTCCGCTGATTGCTTCGGCCGCAACTTCTATCACCACTGTTGTCAATAATGCGCTGCTGGTACAGTCAACCATTAATAATACTACTGTTAATACTACTACTACGACTACTGTAACTACTGCTACTATTAATAGTAATAATAATCCTAATAATAATATTAATAGTAATAATAATAGTAATAGTAATAATGATAATACTAGTATTAATACTGATAATGTTCAAACACATCAACAACTACAACAGTCGCAGCTATCACAAGATCCAGCTGTTGTTGTTTCTGTAAGCCCGGCACCAAGAACAACCAGTGCTGATGGATCCGTCCGGCCTGCTAGTACTGGTAGTGTTAATTCGTTGCATCAAATTACGACAAGTCCAGCACCTACAGCAAGTCCTGCTCCACCAACGGCTGCACCCAGTCCCTCGCCGCTGAGTGCGCCCGGAACTCCAGCTAAGACTCCGGCTAATAATACTGATAGTGAAAAGTCGAATAGTCCAGCACCCAGGCCGCCGAGTAGGACTAATTATCCTGTGCACAAGCTTAAAAAAGCTTGGTTACAAAGACACTCTGGTGAGGATGGTACTGAGGATACTACTGGTGTTATCGGCAGTGGTTCTTGTGTTACGTTACCATTAAATAGTGCTCAGGCGCCCTCTCAGCCCCTACACAAAGAACGTGAATCTACTATCAGTAATAGTAATAGTACGGCTAATACGACGACTAGTCTACCCAGTGCTGTTAATTCTATTCATAATATTGGAAGTATGGCTGTTAATAGTATAAATAAACCTAAAGGTACTGGCAAAGCTGGGAGAAAACCGCTCAATAAAGAAACTTTAAATGGACATACTAATGAAACTAAAAATCTTCAAGAAGATTCATCGAGCAGCGATCCTGAGAGGAAGTCGCCGCCTAAGAGAAAACCGCCCAAGGTATCTATTTATACAAATTGAGAATTTTTACGCTTGTTGGTAATTTATTTTAGTGCAATTGCTTAGTTAGTTTTTTTGAGAGAGGTTGATCTATTTTTTTATGGAGTAATTATATGACATTAAAGTTAGCAGTCACTTGATTGTTTTTTTTTTATTTGTTTTTTTAACTATAAATTTTCAAAAAATTATTTATGACAAAAGTTAACAGTCACTAGAAAATTTTTTAATTTTTTTTAACAAATAAATTTGTTTTTAAAAATTGCATTTTTTTTAATTTCTACGTCAATTTTTTTTTCTAAATTTTTTTGCCATAATTTATTTAAAAATAAAAATTATTAAACATCTGCTAAATTTATTTTCATAAATTATTTTTAAAAAATTGCATTTTTTAATTTTTAAAATTTCTACAAGTCAATTTTTTTTATCTTTTATCTGTTAAAAAAATTATTAAAAATCTGCTAAATTAATTTTCATAGTAATTATTTTATTGAAGTATCGAGCTTTGAATTTAAAAAAATTTCTACTAGGGTTTATTTAAAAATTAATTTAAAATTTATGGCAAAAAAAATTATTTAAAAAAAGGACTTGTAGAAATGTTAATAAATTTAAAATGCAATTTTTTAAAAATAATTTTTTGAAACAAATTTATTTGTTAAAAAAAATAAAAAAAATTGTCAAGTGATAGCTAAATTCAATATCATAAAATTTTCAATGCCGAACAAAGATTATTTATTGTGTAATAATTTACACAGATATTTAACTGTAATATTTTTTAATTCATTAAATAATTTATGTACTCACATAAAAAAATGATGACTAATTTAATTAAAGAAGATTAAATATTTATAGTATTAATATACATTTAATAGCAATCTCTCATGCTTGAATTTTAGTGTATAAATTATGCTTTAATTATTTAGAATGTCTGCTTAAATTTATTGCATGCTTATTATAATTTAAATAAATGAAAGTGAAAATTTAAGTGAAATAAATTAAATATTATATATATTTACTTTATGTTTTCTTTCATTGCTCATTATAAAATTAATTTTATTTATTTATTCGTGTTTATTATTGATACTACAAGTTTGAACTTGAAAAAAAATTTACCTTAAAAATTATCATTGTTTTTTTTTTTAAATAAATTTCTAATTTAATGTAAAATTATGACATTAAATTAAGCTGTCCTCTTCATATTTTTTTAAATTTTTTTTAATAAATAAATTATGGCAAAAAAAATTATTTAAAAAAAGGACTTGTAGAAATGTTAATAAATTTAAAATGCAATTTTTTAAAAATAATTTTTTTGTTAAAAAAAAATTAAAAAATTATCAAGCTAAATTAAATGTCATAAAATTATAAAAAAAATAAAATAAAATAACATAAAGTTATTTTAGCGAAGTTTGAATTTTACCGCGCTAAATTCGAATCAGAGCCGCCATTATCGAGTCTTACGCGTGCACGTACATTCCGGTAAGCAAACTCGAGTTGAGCGTACGGTCTGTGCTTGTGTCTTATAAAAGTTATTCTTCATTGTGATTAATAAAACTTTAATAATAATAAATATAATAACCGAAGCATTAATGAATAAACCATACATTGAAACAATGGAACTGGTAAAGTATATTTATCAAAACTGAATGATTAAACAGTGTATTAAAATTTCGTCATCGGTTTAACCTAATTCTTTTGTCCGAATGGCGTGCTCATTATTATTATTATTATTATCATTTAGTTTATATTATAAATCATTATTTCTCATTATTATTTTTATTATTATTTAATAAACAAATGCGAATGTTAAAAATTAAGTAGAGTAATTAATGCATTATATGTTTTAAAGCGTGGATTTATTAAATATTTTTTACAAGAGCATGAACTTCCTGACTACTTAATAATATGTACCCTGTGGTAGGTAAAACGAAAGAAGGGAGCCCCGAGGAGACAACAGGCAGCTGTTGAAGAACAAAGACGCAGAAAAGATGACAAACAAGTAACAGGAAATACCGGTAGTGTGGCAAATTCTACTGCTGCTGCTGTTGCTGCTGGAAGTGATTCTAGCAACGAAAGTGAAGCTGGATCAGCTAGCGACACCAGTGAACAACTTACCTCCTCATCGTCTATTCAGCCTACTCCTAAAAGAAATACCACAAATATCACTACCAATAATTCAACTAACTCCAACAATTCTACTGGAAATGGTTAGTATTTTTTTTAAACATACTCATTGATTATTTAGTTGAAAAAAAAATTTTTTTTTTTATCAATCAATAATTATCTAAGTAATTATGTAGTTTTATGATTTTAACTATTGGTTAGAAAAAAATGCTATGAGTTTTTTTAAATATCTTTATGAATGTGCAAATTCATTGCAAATAGTTATGTCATTAGAATATTTATTTTATCAAGATATAAACAGAGGGTTATATTTACGTTTGTACTAACAAACAAATGATTGAAGACTTTAAATCTTTCAGAGTATTATATTATGGGTCATTTTTAAAATACAGGGGTTCCATCGTTTTTTTTTTTTTTTTTTTTTTTGGCACTTGCAATTTTATTTTTATTAAAAAAATAAAATGTTCTCAAAATTTATAATTAATAAATTATATTAATAATTTATGAGTTAATTTTTTTTTTAATTAAAATAAAATTGCAAGTGTCAATAATTAGGCCAGTGTCAATAACTGGGTTTTATATCTTAATTATAATTTTTTGCAGTTAAAAAATAATAAAAATACTTGATTTTTTTTTTAATTTTTGAGGGATCAGTTTGTAGATCTTCATATTATTTTTTTTTTCTTAAGAAAAAATTAAACATAAAACAAATTGAAAAAAAAATTATGAAATAATTATAGAAAAAAATAATATTGCTCCATAAATTAACCTTTTAAAAATTTTGATAAAAAACTAGATAAGTAACAAGTACTTTTTAAATTAAAAAAATTCTAGTGAAATAAAATTTTTTTTTTATTAAAAAGAAAACAGATGAGTTATTTATCCGATTTTTTATGGCCGAAAAATAATGGAGCCTCACATCTAAACAATTATTGAATTATGTATTCACATGTGCTTAGCTTGATAAAATACATACACTGTAGTAAAGATTATCAGTACCAAAGAGTGGGGGTTGTTTCGGTAACTATAAGCCATGCTCACCGCTTCCTGAGATATAATAAGCCACGTACACTTTCTTTAACTTTTCGCCGTGCTGATGATCAGTTCGTAAAACACTTGATAAAGTTCATACTTAAATTCAATTAATAGTTCATTTTACTAATCCATATTTTATTGCTTTAAATTTAAGTGTAATCAAGTGTTGAATATTATAAATAAAAAAATTTTTTTTTAATTATTCACCGAAAATGTATTCGATTGAAACAATTAGACAAGCATTTCTTGTGACCAAAAATAGGTAAAATCACAAAACTACATAATAACTTTTTTTTATATAAATTATTGTAGCAGTATATAAAAAATATAAATTCATATCACTATTTTTTATTAAATTTTACTAAAGAAGAAGACCACGTTTTGTCGAGTTAAAATACGACGAAGCGTGGACCTCGTGGTCGAAGTACGCATTTATGGGTTAAATATTTAACATATTCAAGTTTTAAAAATTATTTAGTCAAAATATTAATCTTCTCATGGTTTTTTAAATAATTTTATTTAATATTTTTAATTTTTATTAATTTTTCGGGGTAATGTGCGTGATTTTGTATCCGCCATTTTGTTTTGCAATGCAGTCGAGACCAAGCGTAGTATTAACGTTAGCTATTATAAGTAAAGTTTCAATTAATATTAAATAAATAATTGATTTTTTGTAATTATTATTCGTTTGAATAAATAGTATTTTATTTTATTTTATTTTTTTTTTTAATTTTCAATATCTAAAATCATTTTTGATAGGAATTATTTTAAATACTGTTACAATAATTTTTAAAAAACGAAAAAAAAAATGATTAAAAAAAAAAGCACTCATCTAATAAGTAACTTTGTAAATAAAGTTTCTCTTTTAATCAGGAAACACCAACAAGGAGCCACGAAAAAGAGGCAGACGACCAAAGAATTCGAAGGGAAACGACGCCGGAGGGGGCGAGGATCAACCTCGTCCAAAAAAAGAGCGTAAAGATGACAGCTCAAGCGGGAATGGCGGTGCCGGTGGCGAAGGCGGTGGTAACGGTGGAAACGGTCAAGGCGGAGGTAGTGGAAAAAGTAATCCCTTTTGTAAACCACCTACATCGCAGTTGAAAAAAACCGGCGACAGTTGGCTTCAAGACTTAGCGTGCTGCGATGTTGCACCTAAATTAGCTAAATGCCGTGAATGTCGTTACCTCGCCAAAAGCACATTGTCAAGAATTAAAAAACAAACAGTCTTCTGTCGTTTTTATGCATTTCGTCGGCTCCGATATACTAAAAATGGTCAATTGGCTATTGCCGGATTTAGCGATCCACACAAAGATGCATCTGAGGTTTGTATTGTTAATCAAATAATCAATTAATCATGTCATCATCCTCACACCATTGCATCGTATTCATTGTCATAATATTGAAGTCATATGAATGATAGTTATGTTTAATTTACTGTCTATATTAATTAAATTAAATAATTTTATTTTATAATTACAGGAAGACGTACAGTTATGGTTACCGGGTAATATGGATCAAAATTCGAAGGAAAAGGATGAAAAAACAGAAAAAAGTGAGAAGGATAAAGGTGCAGATAGATTAGATCTAGACAAGGAAATGGCTTACCGCTTGTTACGTCAAGTGGGCGATCAATTTTGTGATCTTTTACGCCAGGAAAAAGAAGCACTTTCTGAGCACATAGCTGACGGTAATTTTCTTTTCTTATCCCATTTATTCACAGTAATGATAATTTTTTTTTACAATATAATTTAAATTGTTTTTCTTCACAAATTAAAGTATTCACTTTTTTCACTTAAGGAGATCCACGCGAATTAAAATTTTTAAAACTTCTTGAAAATTTGTAAATTCAATCTATATAGCCTAATAATTGATAAATAAAATTAAAAAACTGTAGGTTTCCGGGATATTTAATTAAAAAAAAAATAGGTTTGAAGATTGTAATTTTTACATGTAGGTAAATAAAGATTCCAGGCGTGTATTTGGTTAAGAATTTAATGCAATTAACGATTTAAAAAAAAATTTACTTTCATTGAATTTGATTGAAAAAATAATAAGCTTTCGATTAAAACAATAAAAAAGTAGCTTTTCAAACGTATTACGGAGATATTTTATATTTTTTATGAAAAATCACTCGGAACTTCCGTTCTTTAAAATCTTGTATTTGACTTGGTAACACCGCTTGCGCAGTTACCCGGCGCATAAGTAACCACGATTTTTTTAATGCTAGAACATCTTAGTCAATTTAGTTAGACGGTAAACATAAATAAATTTTAAAGTTAGGGAACTCTTGCGGTGTTGTCAAGTGTATATCGGTAATTCAGAGTGCTATATTTATTATTAGTCAATTAAATGTTAATAATTATTTAATGAGTAAATTTTTCGGAAATTTCCTCAAAAATGTCATTAATTAATTTAAAAATTAATTTCAAGATGCATAACTAAAGTATTTCTACGTATTATTTTTCTATAGACATTCTTTACACTAGGAAGGGTACTTGGATCTCCTTAAAGATTTTACTTATTTATTACTATTATTATTATTGTAAGAAAATGATTTTGATCGCATGTTTTAACCGCTTTTTTTCATCAATATGCATTGTTTTTCTCACAGCGGATAATGGAATTGTAGACAGTACAGTTGCGTGGAAGCGAGTCGTCCAGGGTGTACGTGAGATGTGCGACGTTTGCGAAACAACACTTTTCAATTACCACTGGGTCTGCGGTAAATGTGGTTTCGCTGTTTGCATCGATTGTTTTAAGGTAAATTAATCTTTAAATTATTCACAATTAGTCTTTTCAATAAAATAAAATAAAATAAACATGATGTATACATATTTTGATTGATAAATCCATGAAAGTAATCAATTATCGAGCTTTTTAACACTGAATATTCATAAAAAAAAAAAAAAATCAAAATTTTTTTGTCAAAAAAAAATTTCTCAATAAATAACAAAATAATTTTACTCTTTTACAGGGACGTAAAAATGGAACCGTGACTATTTGGGGTGAAAGTGGAAAAGATCGTGACGATTGTGGCTGGTTACTGTGTACAAATCGGCAAATCCACGCGCCAGATCGTCTAATGTTAACCCAAATAATAGCAGGCGACAGTTTACCTCAGTTAGGACAACGCTTGCATGATGTAAGAGCTGAATGGGGAATTCCACAACACTGTGATTGTTCACTAGTATCATCAACTCCACCTAACGATACACTCCGTAATTCTATAAAAGGTGACTCAGTAACAGTCACAACAAATGGAAACATCAAGCAAGAAATAAAAGAAGAAAAGAACTCGGATGATACCGCGAATGGTTCGTCAGAAGGTAAAGCCAATGGGGAAGAAAATTCACCCTTAAATTGGTTAGCCGACGTAGCGTTGCAAAATCAAGATAAAAATGACAGTGGCTCTAGTTCGGACTCAGACGAGGATCGTGACGGTAATTACTCTACCTTGCGTGAATTATTGATCCGTCCATCACACAAACCCAATGGTAATGGTTCACGGTCAAATTCTCCGACGAATGTTAATTCACCTGGACCTACGAGCAACAATATCGTTAAGCAGGGTAAAAAATCCAAGATGGACGCACTTGATGAGGTAATATCGAGTGTAATTGAACACACAGCTAAAGAAGAACGCGATAGGAACGAGTCTGGAGAAAAAACTTGTGAGCTGAAACATTTTGTGCGTCGCTACAAGTGGACCGAACGTGGGCGTGAGCCATTGCCAATTAGAATAATGACATTAACCGAGAGTAAAAGTCTTTATCCAAATGTACCACATTCCTGGTTGTGTAATGGTAAATTATTGCGGTTAAATGAGCCTCATAATATCAACAATTATCGCATATTTCAAGACCAATGGAAACGTGGTCAGCCAGTTATTGTATCAGATGTATCTAAATCACTTAACATGGATCTCTGGCACCCAGATTCATTTGCGCGAGACTTTGGTGATGAAAAAAATGATTTGGTTAATTGTATGACTGGTCACACAGTACCTCATCAACCTATGCGTAAATTTTGGGAAGGTTTTGAGCATTTTTCAAAACGTCTTAAAGATGATAAAGGCAATCCAATGCTTTTGAAACTAAAAGACTGGCCGCCGGGTGAAGATTTTGCTGAATTATTACCATCGCGTTACGCTGATCTCATGAAAGTATTACCATTGTCTGAGTACACTCATCGTAATGGACGATTAAATTTAGCAAGCAGATTACCTGACTGCTTTGTAAGGCCGGACTTGGGGCCTAAAATGTACAATGCATATGGCTCAGCGCTCTACTCGAATAAAGGAACGACTAATTTACATCTTGATATATCTGATGCTGTAAATGTTATGGTTTACGTGGGTATTCCTCAAGATGGTGACAGTGAAGAGCATATTAAGGAAGCACTGAGAGCTGTCGATGAAGCAGGCTGTGATATTTTGACTCGTCGACGTGTACGTGAACGTGGTGAAGCACCTGGTGCTCTCTGGCACATTTATGCTGCTCGTGATGCTGATAAAATTCGCGATCTGCTTAATGCTGTTGCTCTGGAACGTGGCGCACGTTTAGAGCCACACCATGATCCTATTCATGATCAAAGCTGCTATCTTGATGGTCATCTACGTGAACGATTGTACCGTGAATATGGTGTTGAAGGGTAAGTTTTGTTGATTTTTTTTTTAGTATGTGTGCATACTAAAAAATTTGCGTCAATGCGTTAAAAAATTTTTTTAACAATTTTTATATTAAATATTCAACTCTTTTTTATGTTGATCTAACAAAATAATCGCGTATAAAAATTATGCGCCCTTAATATGGGTACTCGGGAACCATAAGGGCGTTTAATAAAAATCCTATTTTTTTAAGTCCAAAAAAAAATTTTTAGTTAAGAGAAAATTTTTTTTTTTGTATTTCTCCATGTTTCATACAAAAAATATGTTGATTTCCAAAAATAAAAAAATTTTTTTTTTTTTCAAACTAAAAATTTTTTTGGACTTAGAAAAAATTATAGAATTTTTATTATACGTTACAAGAGTGTATAAAATTTTTTTTTGATTTTTTGCACATTTCGGACAAAAATACGTCAATTCTTGAAAAAAAAAAAAATTTTTTTTATTCGTCTTTATGCACGGAAAGAACAAGATGACACTGAATATCATCCCAGATTATAATCAATGATATCTGTGGAGAAAAAAAATTTCAGATAATAGCTAGAAAAATCCAGATTATACTTCGTGATCTGGATTATACTAGCTACTATCTGAAATTTTTTTTTGCTCAGTGTAATCTGGGATGACATCCAGTGTCATCTTGGCTTTTCACCGGTAGTTTTTGCCGGTATACGCCCTTATGGTATCTGGAACATGAAATATTGAATTTACACATGTTAAATATTTAACACAAAATTTTTTGACGTAATGTAAAATTTTTTACTCTGTGTGCTTCGATTGAATAAACACCACAGTTAATTAATCGTTTAATTATTTTTTTTCTTCAGGTACGCAATTGTTCAGTGTCTAGGTGACGCAGTATTTGTACCAGCAGGTGCACCACATCAAGTTCGTAATCTCCACAACTGTATTAAAGTTGCTGAAGATTTTGTATCACCTGAAAATGTATCTCACTGTTTCCATTTAACTCAAGAGTTCCGTGCCCTATCAGACACTCACACTAATCACGAAGATAAATTACAAATAAAAAATATTATTTATCACGCGGTTAAAGATTCATTGACTGTATTAGCTAATGCTAAGGAGGAGGCATTGCAACAACAACAACAACCACAACAGCAACAGGCTGCAGCTAAAACAAAATCTACTGATATTAAAATTAAAGATGAACCCAAACGTGAAACTTGATGATCCTAAGCTATGTACGATGATAATCGTCTATTGAATTCTCGATTTAATCAGATTATCAATACTACTTTGAATCTCGCTTTAAGCGAGTAATTAATGCTGCTCCCTCGGGTGCTAATCCATTTATTATTAATTGAATGGGTTTCAATTAAAATCGAGGGTGTGCTGAAATAATGCCGATAATGGTAATAATCACGATGATGATGATGATGATGAGTAAGAAACAGAGTAAAGGCGTAAAGAAAATAGGAGAGACTTATTAAACGGAGTATACTCCAGTTTGTTGTGATATTCGATTAGTGTATGAGTTTTTTTTAAAATAATTTTTTCTTTTGTTTATTTTTTTTCTTAATATTGTCTCGTGGCTAAGCCAGCTTGTTCAAGTAGAGAACTATTATTCTTTAATTGTTTATAATTATCATAATTATTAATAATGACAATATTGTTTTTCTTTTTCTTTTTTTAACTGTTGACAACGGAAATGAAATCCGTGAGATTATTTTCTACATTAAGATTTTTTGTAGATACAAGAGTCGTCTCCCCTTGACTTCGCGTTCTTTTACCAATTGTGATACCAATATTTGGAATCATACCATATATATATGAATGTATATTACATATATTGACTATCATATTCAATGTATAAATACATACATATAGATATAATTAATATTGAAAATATGAAATAAAAAAAATTCATTTGTAATTAATTATACCGTGCCTGTATCCAATACATACTTGTCCATATTCTATTATATATAAGATGTAGATAATTATTATTATTAATAAGAATAATGAATATTGTAATAATAAATTCCTATTGGCGATTTCCCAAATAAAATATAAATAAGGGAGTTTATTTATTATTTCATGTTTTTTTATTTTATTTGTGCAATTTTTCATTTCATTAAAAAAATTTTTACTTGCCTTAGGCAATAAAAAAAAAATTTTTTTTTGCAACTCAATAATTAAGACTTTTAACACTGCCTCATAGAATCACATGAATAAATTTTTGGAATTTATTAAAATTTGGATTAGCAAAAATTTTCTCTAACTAATTATAACTTTTAATTAGTTCAATCACTTGTTTAGAAAGTCTACAGTGCCGTCCGTTCATACATACTGGACTTTAACTTCATTTTTTTTTTTTTTTATTATTAATAAAATTAATAAAAAAAAATAATTCATGGAAAAAGCTGAGTAAATTAATAATTAATTTATTATGAAAAATTATTAAGACAGAGGCTGAAGTTTAATGAAATATATAAATATATATTTTTTTCCAAGTGCCAACGGTAACGACGCAGGTGCATAAAAAATACAATTAAAATTATTTATTTATATTTTTAAAATCTCGGGGCTCAATTTTTCATTAGACTAAACTGATGTACAATTTACGCGTTAAAATGATCAATTGTTAATTTAAATAATTAATATTTAAATGGTCATTTAATTTACGCATTTTTAAAATGTCAAAGATAAATAAAATAAAAGAAAAAAAAATCGGATTAATTTTTCTTTGATCTCAATAATTGTCTAGTAACAACGAGTTTATAAATTATTTAACTTGTATGTAAAGTTCTCGATAGAGTTGTTAAATAATTGAAATAAAATTAAGATAATTACCTACTAATGGGCGGTGTATAAAAAAAAATTAAAAATAAATATATGTGTATTATTGCAACAAGTTAATAATAATATTAATTTGCTTTTTTGTAAATAAATATTTAAATAATTAATAATTATTTCACTTAAGTATAAAAAAACGTATAAATATATAAATATGTCAAAAAATTAGTATTTAAGTTTAAATAAAATTAACGGCACGAAAATTACACCAGACAGTTAGTAATTAATATCATAAATAATAATTATATATACATATAAATAAAGTAATTTAATTAATATGATTAATTAGAAACATTATTTAAATGTTGCTGACAATGCCGAAAAAAAGTAAATATATTAAATAATACTATTAGAGAAATAAGTGTTCTGTGTAAATGCGCGCGTTATATATATATAGTAATAAATTTGTACATGTAATTATTATTATAATGTATTACAATTGTGATGTGTGGATGTAGTTTAAAAAGAAAGAAAAAAATGAAAAAAAAAGTGCGTGGCTGTACAGAAGAAGAATTTTGTGTAAAAGTTGCTGATTTAATGAATGTTGAGTATATTCGTGTAATGAGTGATAATTGGGGCTGGAGTAGTGGCGATTTGGAATATTAAATTTATGATAAATAAGATTTAAACTATAAAAAAAAAAAAAAAGAAAAAATGAAAACAAAAAAAAATAATTAAATAAAAATGTACAGAATGATTTTTAATGGAAAATTTGGTGGGATGAATAATTAAAAAAAAAAAATTGAATTTTTAAAATTGGTGACTATTAATGAAAAAATCACATTATGAATCCATAGCCCAGTGTCCTGTACCACCGGCCACTCCTCCCAGTCAAGGCAGTTGTAAACCGCTGGCCGGTGGGTATGAGTATAATTTTTTGTACTGTGTAAATGTAAGAACATACGTTTGAATAAGAAAAATGTTTATATTATAAATTGTCTTATTTATTTCTTCTTTACTTATAGTTATAAATTAATTTTTAAAAGATGAAAACAATTCAAAGTTAAAAATAAGAAAAATGCATGCTAAGGATATTTTTTTAAATTTATATATAAATCTTCCATACCATATTCGTAGTTATTTATTTGTAAAATCAATTAAGCAGATATTTAATAATTTTTAGAATTTTTTTAACTAATAAATTATAGCAAAAAAATAAGAACAAAAAATATTAACATGTAGAAATTTTTAAAAATTATCAAGTGACAGCTGACTTTAATGTCATTTACTTATTATCACAGAACTGTCAATTTATAATATTGAAAGTATTGAGAAATTTTTAATTTTCAATTTTTGCTATTTTTTTTTCTTCAGATTAATTTATTTTTTCGTTGAAAAAATTTTTAATTTTTATTTACTGTCACAAAATTTTTTATGTACACATTCCTAATAATTTTTTTTTTCAACACAAATTTGCAATAATTATTAATTTAAATTTATGATAAGATATCAAAATTATTGAAGTTCTCAATTGACACTTAAATTGACAGAAATTATACTTTTTTTTTTTTTATAATTTATAGTAATTTAATTATTATGAAAAGAATTTGATAAAAAAATTCTAAGTGTAAAAATAAAAACTCTTTTTTTTGACATGTCGAGAGTAGAGCACTACTAAGTAATGCTTCGCTTATGAGGCATGCAAAAATTTTTAGAAGCATTTTTTTATTGTTATTGATTTGTTATAAAAATTTTTAAAATGAAAATTGATTTTGGGGACATTTAACAATTTTTTTAACAAATAAATTATGGAAAAAAAATCAGAAAAAAATTGACCTTAAGAAATTTTAAAAAGTTAAAATTGCAATTTTTTTAAAGATAATTTTTCAAAACAAATTTGTTTGTCAAATAAAATAAATAAAAATTTTTTCATTTGTAAAAAGCTTAAAAAACTACAAGCATAATTTTTAAAAAATATTTTTTAGTTTTAATTAAATAACTTAAAAGAAAATTAATGAAAATTAAGTTAGCCGACATCTAAAAATTTTTAGATTTTTTTTTTTATTAAAAAAATTACAAAAAAATTCATTTTTAAAAAACTTTAAAAATTATAAGTGCAATTTTGTAAAAATATTATTTAGTTCTCATTTAATTATTAAAAAAAAACTCAAAAAATTAACAATGTCGGCTAACTTTAGTATCATTATAATTCATTATTATTACATTAAAGTTAGCAGTCACTAGAGAATTTTTCAATTTTTTTTTAACAAATAAATTTGTTCAAAAAAATTACTTTTAAAAAATTGCATTTTTTATTTTTTTAAATTTCTACATGTCAATTTTTTTTACCATAATTTATTTTGAAAAAAAAAATTCTAAAAATTATTAAATATCTGCTAAATTTATTTTCATTTCATTATTTAAAAAAAAAAAATATTTTTTGGCCAAGTCGATAACATAGTTCATTTTTTTTAAATAATAAATATGATGATAATATAGAAATTGTTAGAAAAATAAAATGAGCAGAGGTGTAGCGCTGTGTTCTTAATCTACATTATCGTGAAGCTTATGAATCATGATTATTGTGACAGTAACTACATAATTGATCATTATTAGTATAATGTACATGGATTGCACCACAAGTTAAGGACGTTCACCGCCATATTAAATAAAGTCTAAGCAATTTTCATTTGAATTATTGCCGCTAAAAATTGAACAACTGAAGCGCACTCTATGTACCAAACACAACTATTCACGGAATTAGGGACTACTTTTATTCGGCGGAGTATTTCGTTGATGAGGTGTGTAGTACTTCTGCACAGGCGCACTAAATTTTTTGTGTTGGTGGGGATTGAGCATGTGGTCGGGAAAAAAGTCATTCTTTGATTCTTTCATAAGTCAAGAATACTAGTAATACTACTACTACTACTATTTCACCGGGACGACTATAAGTTGATGAAAGACTCGTGTTTTGCATTTTTAATTAATAAAACGAAAATTATTATAAATAAAATCCCAAAATGGCAGACGGCAATACGGAAGGTATTTTATTGAATTATTTTATTTTATTTAATTTTTAATGACATTAAAGCTATCAGTCACTAATATAAAATTTAAAATTTTTTCATCAAAATTAGATGACACGCTTAATGAGGTAGTATCTCTGGAAGAGGAGGTGATGATGCGTTACCGAAGGGACAGAATTCAATTACTGAAAATGCTTAATACGGCCTACGAACAACTGCTGCAAGAAAAAATGACGAATTACAATTATCGAAACTCTAAAAACATCACTAGACCAAATGTGCTTGAAGCTATAAAGGATCACATATTTACACAAGGTTATCAAGCAGTAGTACTTGAACTACCCATATTTTTGGATATGAGTGAATACGTATGGAATATCCGATTTTGCTACAATGCAATCAATTTTTTCGGAGTGACTAAAGACACCAGCCACGGGTGGATCTTAGTAGATTTCCTGACAGGGTGTTGGAAAATTACATGAATTGTATTTTATTTAGCATTGCTATACACTGATTTGTAATTTTACAAAAATTTTTAACAGTGTGTAAATAAATAAATTAGTTTGAATTTATTGAGTGGTCTGAAGCTCGCGCGCTACGCAATGTTGCCAAATGTTTTGATTCCATTTTAATGTAGGTTACTTGAGAATTTTTTGTGATTTTTAAATATTAATTTCCCAATAAATATTTCGGTAACTGATATATTTTATTGCAAACAAAGAAACCTGAATATTTCGAAAATCTAATTTTTAGTTTTTTTTTTTACTTCATTTAATCCATGACTGATAGTATAATTCGAGAAATACTGCAAACGTCTGACTTTCTCGTAAGACTCTGAACAAATACTAGCATTTAAAAATTTTATTTTTTCAAAAATTTGTCCGGTAAAGTATAATTTAAACCTCACTATTAGATAAAGAAGGACCTTAACTATTAGAAAAAAAATTGAATTTACTCATAATCTAATATTTTTTATTTTACATTGGCGGCGAAAGGACCTCCTTAAAGTCACGGTAAAAAACTTAAAAAATGACGGTTTTTTAGCAACCTCACCTGTGACTATAAGACAAAAAGATTTGATATCAATAAAATAATAGATTAATTAATTGTTATAAATTAATTAACATGACAAAGATTGTTCTTAATCTTCTAAACGCTAGGAAATGAAAAGGATGCCGTAAGCTTTTTAGGTTACTTATAAAAATAAAGGCCACAAACTTTTTAACCGACTTATGTATAATACCGTTAAAAATAAATTATTCGCGGGAATTCAAAAACTGAAGGAATCGTACAAAGATTCGATTTAGATAAAATTATCGTAAAAATAAGCACTACCATAATAATAAAATATCAAAACTTGAATAAATTTATGAATATAATTATGTAAATTAATATGCAGGCATTACTATAAATATTGCAGTCATATGATGGAATAAATTCAATGGTTACAGTCACGGGTAATCCATAAATTTCTCCGAAATATTTAATTATAACATTGAATTAATTTAATTAAATGAATGAAAATAACAACAGCGATGAAATGAATACATACTGTCGTTGAAAATAATTATAACACCGTAAATTATTAAATAATTACCACAATGATAAATAAAACCTTATAGTCACGGGTTACTCGTGCAAGTATATCTTATGACAGTTATTATAAAATTATATTTATTTAATTTTCATAAATAAATGTATCATGAGGGACAACATAGATATGCATACAACAGTTTCAAATAATAAATATAAATCATTTAAATAAATAATTACCTCAATAATTAATTAAACCTTATAGGGAAGATACCGCAATTAAGTTAGCGTGGAAATTCAATTCTTAGCGGGAAGTTAAAAATATCTGCTAGTCAAGTCGATAACACAGTTCAGTTTTTTATATTATAAATATTAAATATGTCGATAATATAGAAATTGTTAGAAAAATAAAATGAGGAACGAGGCGTGGCGCAGTGTTTTTAATCTACATTATCGTGAAGATGATTATTGTGACAGTAACTAATTTATCAGCATTAGTATAACATACATAGAGTGCACCGCAAGTTAAGCACGTTGACCGCCATATTGAGTTGATGTTGACTCTCCATCCAGTTTACTCTCTATCTTGCTATCTCTACCTATACTCAATAGATTATCTCGAGGTGTAGGTGTTTACGCGGTACGCTTACGGTAAGACCCGTGTCTTGTATTATTAAAAAAAAAAAGTAATATTAAAATAAAATAGCGTATCGATTAGCACAGTAGTATCAATAGTGTCAGTATAGTTTACAAAACATTAATAAATAAATAATAATAATAATAATAATTATCCCCATAATTATTACTATTATTTATCCTACAATTACAATTACTATTAATATACAATCGCTAAAATAAAACATTAAGTTTGGTAATAATAATCCAAAAATCGTGGTGTGTATTAGCAATGAGTGGTAGCGACGATAAAGAGAGCCAGTGTGAGGAAAGGACAACTGAGTCAAACAACGAGATCATGGGTGACGTCCTTGCTAAAGAAGCTGAAGAGTCTGGTGATGCGGTTGACGCTGGTGATGTTGAAAATAATATTAAAGTTGATGCTGATGCTGATAATCAAACACAAGTTGACGTAAAAACTCAATTTGAAATTGACGCTCAACCCAATCAGGACAATGATAATTATCGTGATGAAACAACAGACTCTGAAGACGAATCACATTTCAGAAATTCACCATGTGAAGCTGATGCTGCTCCGGAAATTCCTGTCGCTCAATCCATTCCTGAGTCTACATCTACGGTATTTTATTTTGCTATTTTATTTGGAATTTTTAAGCTCTTTTTTTTCTGGCTATTTATATATATATAGTCGCATTGTGATGCGTTTAATGTTATCCTTGTAAAGGTGACTTTCACCCTGGTACAAATACACCTATATAATATTATACGTGTATATTATAATATATATACAACTGCATATCCATGTATTTTATACCTTTATTTTTTTTTATGTATATTTACAGGACACCCAGACAACCCAAACTACCAATGACATCTGGAATTTATCTAAGTCTCTTGATGATGATGATGATGATGATGATGATGATAATGAGGAATTGTCATCGTATTTTGGGCAAACTCAAACTATCAAACATGAAAAAGTTTGTACTTGTGAAGTCTGTGTTGTACAAAGGTTAAAATTGTTATTATTATTATACAGGCTTCTAGGTATTATCACCAATTTTATTTTTCTGTACTTAATCCTGTTGTTTTTGATTATCAGGGCATTTATCCGGGATAAAATAACAAAAGTATGGAATTGGCAGAGTCAAGGATTAAAAATACGTGAATACATTAGAGCTGTATTTAATGCCGCTATTGAGTCTCCTTGTGTGCCTAATATTCGTAAATATGAATGTGATCCTAATCAGTATGCTCAACTCCGAGAAATTGTTAATGAGTATGTTTATTTTATTTATTTACTCACATTTTTCTGCTTTAGGTTTTCAGCAAATATTTTCTATTGTAAATACTATCAATGCTAATTACTATACGATCATTAGTGACTATTCATAATACCTGTTTTTATTTGGTAAATATTTACAAGTCGGGTCAACCATTTTAATTTTTATTTTTTTGAACGAAATTTCTATTTGATTTTATTGATATATATATATTTTTTTTTAAATATATAAAAAATGAACAATAAAAAAAAATTTATTACCACAATTTTAACAAATTTTAAAAATAATTTATTTTTTTTAATTCGTTTTTTTTTTTATGTACTCAAAAAAAATATATATATCAAAAAAAGATAAAATAGAAATTTTATCAAAAAAAAATAGAGTCAAAATTTTTTCCAACTTCCCGTATAAAAAAGTTGCGGAGTTCTCCGGAATTACGCAAGGAAATATGAATTTCAGAGAAATTCAGAATGAAATCATAGAAAATAATCATCGATAGAAAATTGATAAAGTAGTAATATAAATTCATAAAACCATAATATTTTGATTTATTAATTACAGACTTCTTAAGGATTTTTGAGAAAATCCGGAGGAATCCCGGAGAAAATTTCGCGGAACTCTGCTAGTCTAGCTTCTAGTCTCAATTCCACAAGTATTTTAGAAAAATTCCGCAGAGTTTTCACCAGGATTCCTCCGGAATTTTCTGAGAAATCTTAAAAAATCTGTAATTAATTAATCAACATATATGATGATTTCGTGTATATAATATATTTCTACTTCATTAATTTTTTAACGACGATCGTTTTCTATTATTCCATTCTGAATTCTTATGGTATTCATATTTGTATTAAAATGATGATGATCCATCAATTCATCTATTTTTTTTTATGGCCAAAAATGAGTTTGACCCCACTTATAAATAATTACCTTCTATTTTCATAATAATAAAATTTGCTCAGAGATAAATATTAATGCTTCTGTTAATATTTTTAATTAAGTATTTAACTCGAAAATAATTTCTGAATTTGGTATTATTAAATAATAAAATTTTTGGAATTGGAAAATTAAGTATTTTTAACGTAATATTACTTAACATACTGTTCATAAAAATTTTTCTGATGAAACATAATACTAAAAATAGTTTTCAATCAGAATAAAAAATAATTACAGTTGTAAAAATTTTATCTACTATTTCAATTTATATTTTATTATAATTTCTTGTTATGAGTGATCTTATTGATAAAATTAGACCCTCAATGAATTTATTGTGAAAACTTGGCGTCAGCTTGAATTCCGGAAATTTAAAATTTCTTTACTTATCGCAATCTGATATTATTACTAAGTTTAATCTCTTTTAAACAGAACTTAATAACAACAACACAATGCCCGTTAGATTAAAATGATTTATAATACAGTTCATAATAATTGTTTATAGTAAAATACAATAAGTAATAAATTAAATTATTAAATTTTCAGATTGATAAAATTCCTCTAAAGTAACAAATAAAATCATTAAGTCAAAACATGAAAAAATAATAAATCATATTAGGTATGGTTTAATACCTGCTTATTATATTATTACAAGTTTATATGCATTGAAAAAATATAATTATGTATTAATTATCAATGATAGTGACATTTGAGTACCATATCAGATTTATTCCTATTAGTACAACAATAGCTACTGATTTTCCAATAAATAACAATTCATGATCATGTATAGTAATTAGTATTTTTCTGTAAGATAAATTTAATTTAAAAAATTCTATTTAATATCAATAATAAATTTAATTTTTCTAGTCTTGTAAAAAGTCATCCACACAAATTTTTCTTGATGCTGGTGATACAGGCACAAGAATTCGTCGTTGAGTTAAAAATCCGTATTATGCGTCCACTGCAGGATGATAATTTAGCGCGTATTGCTGAAGTATTTCTTACAAGTAAGTAAAAACGTTCACTAAAAATTAATGATAAAATTAATTTTTTTTTTGGTAAATTTTATTTAACAAGAGTCAAAAATTAATAATTGTTCTTAAATTCAACTAAATAATATTACCAAAAAATTTTTTGTGCCGTTTGGGCATTTTAACTTTCATTTTTTTGAACTGAATTTCTATTTGATTTTATTGATATATATATATATATTTTTTTTTAAATTAAAAAAATGAACAATTTAAAAAAAAATTGATTATCACAATTTTAACAAATTTTCAAAAAAATTTATAATGTAATTTTCAACTTTTTTTTTTAATTCGTTTTTTTATGTACTTTTCGAAAAAAAATATATCAGAAACATCAAAAAAAAAAATAAATTAAAAGTTTTCTCTATAAACATGAGACCCAAATTTTTTTCCAACTTTTAAAGGCAAAAAAGCTATCGAAATCTTTATTTTTTCCTTTGACGACATTTTTTTTTCATAAATGCGCCGGTAAAACAAGCAGAATAAAAAAAAAATTTCTAATGTTAATTTTTCACCTAGTTATGGCTCAAAATAAGGTTGACCCCCCTTGTAAATAATCACCTTTATTTTTTTAATTGCATTAACACTCAAACTAATAAATATTAAATATTTCTCAGGACTTTTGAACGGCTACGACATTTTAATAGCAACAGCAGCTCAAGTAACTGATTTAATAAAACCACTAGAAGACAATCACCTCTCAAAATTCACAATAACCTGGGAATTTTTCAACAAAAAACTCTACCAAAATTACATATACTTCTACGAGCCAACAATCAGAAATATCTTACCATCCCTAGTTCGTCAACTGCGTAAACCCCGAAAAGGAAAAGGTTACAAAGTGCTATTAGAAAGGTACTTAGGCTTCGTGGACGAGATGATGCAGATCGCAGATCTGTGGCTAGACAAAGAGTTGAATATCGACAAGTACAACGCAGTCCAAACCCGTCGTATAATAGACAAACGCAAAGCCAGTACCCCTTGGACCCTCTACACAATCGAAGAAGCGACAAAAGTAGAAAACGAGCGTACATTAGATGTCCCAGGATTGGGACTAAATCAAACACCATTTGATTCTTACTTCATAAAGTTACTAGAGCGACTAGAATCTCCACCAGACACCGCATTAGTCCGTAAGATGCTGGACGCCTGGAGTAAACAAGCCTACCAAACGTTAGCTCTAAGTTCATTAGGAATTTACTGGCACAAAGAACGTGAGATCGCAGGGGACGGTACAACGCCTGATGATCCTGGTTATTATTTCGGGTATCAAGCAGCTGCATGGTTAGTATTAAGCCGAGCTACTGACACGACATTAGAAATAGATACCAAGTGCACAGTCTGCGGTGAGCTAGCTTGGGTGTCACACTTGGTCGTAGGTGGCCGTACTAAAACCGGTCAGTGTGCTCATCCAACTTTGAAGGCTAATGGAGATATATCTACAGCATCATTATCAGTATCATTACCCGGTTCGCCGTCTTCGACAGGTTCCGCAGCTGATAGTACTGAACTAGTTAACACCAACCACAATACAGATAATAAAAAACGCAAAGGATGTTTGTGTACATACAGACATTTGGGTGAATGGCAAGGTTCAACATTTCGTGGACTTTTATTATTTCCACCTTGCTTGTGTATGCTCAATATGCGTCAATTACCGGAGTCTGCTTGTCCTTGTGTTCGTGAAGAACCATCACGTTTATCTGGACGCAATAACAATAATAATAGCAGTAATAATAGTAATAGTGGTAGTAACTGTAGTAATAATATTAATAATAATAGTAACAATAGTTGTAATAAAACAAGTGATCAGCAAATTTCTACACAATCTTCTTCAGTAGAAAGTGGAGAGACTATTAAAATGAATAATTGTAAACCGGTGGTACCTCAAACAAGGCATTCAACGACACAAACTCCCAATGGTATGCACCCTCATAATCATGGCCATGCTCATAATAACCACACCGGACACAATCCACATCCTAGATGCACTGGCCATGGGTCTGATATAAAAGGAATTGCCAAACACAATCATGGACATCCGCATTGCCATAAACAAACTGTCGAACAGATACGCAGGGTATCTTGCAATAGTTTGCACACTGGTGATGGTAATTGTTCGGATAGCGGGAGTATTGAAGACTCTTGTTCAACTGGTGGGTCATCTTCTCCACGAGATGCTGGTCGGCATTGCGATTGTTGTTACTGTGAAGTATTTGGCCATGGTGTACCCAGTGTTGCTCCAGTAAGTCGTAATTATAATGAGACAAGAGAACGATTGCGGCAATTGTTGACGAAGAAAAAAGCTAAAAAGTGTAATAAAGTTACGGGGTCTACTATTGTTGGTTCGGGATCTACAGCTGCAACTTCTTCGTCTTGTAGTCCTCCTGTAAGTCCAGCTGACACTCCGTCGGATAATTCTGTTACTCGTGGTAGATCTGATACTCCGTCGACTGTTTCTGAGTTGAGGGATGATCGGGATTTAGATACGTTAATTAAATTTATTGAAGGGGATGTGGACAGTAGTGGGAAGAAAGATACTAAGAAGAGTGAAAAAAAGGCGAGGCAGAAATTGAAGAAAGCTGAAGAAGCTTTGAGGCTGCAGAAAGAAGAAGCTGATAGGCAGAAAATTGTTGAGTTGCAGAAAAAAACTCCCGGTGTTACGATAACTGTTGTTGATCCGAAAAAACCAGCGCAGAAATTGTTGATGAATAAAAATTTACCTGAGGTGTCGATTTTGCCGGCAACTGTACAGAAGAAAATTGTGAAGAATGAAGTTAGGGAGAAGGTTAAGGAGACTGTTGTTGTTGTTGCTAGTGGTAAAAGTAAAAAGAAAAAGAAACAGAAGATTGTTGAACCTGAACCTGAACCTGAACCTGAACCTGAGCCGGAACCTGAGCCTGAGCCTGTTCCGTTGACTAAAAAGGAACGGAAGAAATTGAAGAAAGAAATGAAGAAAATGGAATTGCAGAAATTGCAGAATAGTAGTGATGGTAATAGTGGGAAAGTTTCTAAAGATCAACCTCAAATTGTTACTATTAAAAGGGTGATGGAGTCTAATAACGCTGAGCCTACGGTTACGATTACTCTTAAAGGGCAAACACCTGCTGAAGATAAAGTATTATTTACGTTAGTTAATGGACAAACTAAGGAACCGTCGAAGGAAACTGGTGGAAAGAAAAAGAAAAAGAAGAAGGGTCAAGCTCAAGCACAAGTACAAGCTCAAACTCAAGTGAAAGTTACTCAGGTTCAAGCGAAGAGTAGTAATAAGGAGAAAGATAAAGGTAAAACGAAGAAAGAAGAGAAGAAAAAGGCACAGGCACTAGCGAAAATTCAAGATCAAGATCAAGGGCAATTACAAGGTAATAAAGGACAAAATCAAGCTCAGGCACAAGTCTCGAGTGAAATAAAAACCAAGAAAAAGGATAAAAAGAATGCTGAGAATAAACAACCACAAAATGTTCCCCAGCAACAAAATAGCACAAAGAAAAATCAATCTGAAGTTAGTAATAAAGGAAAAAAACAGAAGACTGTTACTCCACTTACTGAGATTAAGGTACAGACTAATGTTAATAGTAACACTAATATTAAGATTAATGAGGCGGGGAAGAAACAACAGCAACAGCAACAATTACAACAACAACAGCAGCAACAGCAACAGCAAAAGAAGAAAAAAGATAATCAGAAGAATAATAAACAAGCTAAGCAAGCACCGTCACAGCAAAAAACGCCTGTTAGTAGTAATACTAATCTGAGTAATGTTAATAGTAGTAATAGTAATAGTAATAGTGGGAGTTCAACGCATGGTCAAGCTAAGGATATGACAAGGATAAATATTGAAAATCTTAAATTACCACCTGGTATTACGATAACAAAGGTTGATGTTCCCGTAAAACCATTTCCTATAAAATCAACTCCACTTGCTAAAGCTACTAGTAATACTCCGCCAAATAAACAGGCGACGATAATTGCATCTCCAATGTCTGCTGGGGGAATTCATGGAAGCTATGGTGGTCCTCAAGCTGGTGCTAATGTTATTGTGGTTGATACTGGGAAACTCAAGCAGGATCTTAATCCAAATGACAAAGGTAAGTTTTTTTTTATGGTGTTTTTTGTATTTTGCACGGCTCATAAGCGAAGCGTTGAGGTTGTGCTCTACTCTCGACATTCCAAAATATTTTAATCAATTTTATTTTGAAAAATGAGATTATGAGGCGTGCACTTTTTGATTTTCCAAACTTTCTTTTTTTTTTTTTAATTTAACAAGGCAGGTTGAATTCTTGCTTAGAATAGAATAAAATTTATTTGATTCTAGGAGAACATACATTCCCATTGCAAGGGGATAATCACATATACATACATTTTTCATATAATTTCAGGTACATGGGTTATAAAAAAGAGAAAGTGAAATATTATAATTAAAAATTAAAATCAATAGATATATCACTACATTAATGGATTATTCAAAGAGAATAAATGCTCTTAGGGTGCAGGCGTTTTGTATAAAATGGTATACTGGTTTTACGTATGGGCAATCGGGGTTTAAGATGTCATGGATTGTAGGCGCTGGAATTCTTGCTTAGATTAAACATACTTGATAAACAAAGTAGAGTAAATTACTAATTTGCTAGTTTCTTAATATTCAACTCTTCTGAACATTGATTATTATATTAACAAAGTAGTAATACGAAAATAAGTAATAATCAATTAAAATTAAATAGTACTCAATTAAAATATCATCTTTTTTTCTTGCATATCATTTAATTTATAAAAAAGAACTTTTTAAAGGAACTTTGTATTTTATGTCTGTTTGATCTCATGAAACTATGTATTCAGCTTTCTTTAATGAGGTTTTTCTTTCAATTAAATAAATTATTGCGTCTATGATACGTCTGTATTTGTATATCTATATATAAATTTTATTATGATATTTTTTTTCTTTACCTTAGAATTATGGTGCTACTAAACCATAATATAGTTTTCTGTTTTTTATTATTTATGTTTTTTTTTTATTTATTTATTTATTTATTTATTTCAGCCTGACGGCCTAGAAATGAACTTGGTAGAAACATAGATAATTAACATCTCTCTTATTGTCTACATAACATATATGTTAAATCTTAAATTCTTATATCCTTAAAATACTTAAACTCTTAAATTTTTAAAAGTCTTTATTTATTTACACTTTGGGATTCTTTGCTGTTTTTTTTATTATTTTGTGTTTCGTATTTTATTTTAATAAATTAATAATTGATGATATTTTTAGGAGCTTCCAAGGAGCCAAGTAAATCGAGTAAAAAAAAGAAGAAGAAGAATGCCGCAGCAGCAGCTGCTGCCGCCAAGAATGCATTGCAAAATAATTCACAATCTAACGACAACTCGGAACGTTATCAAAATGATGAATTAGCGCGTATTGTTCACAATCCCGGATCAAATATGGTGACTATCCGCAATCCTGCATTCGGATCGCTACCAAAAGTTGAACCAGTTCAACAACAAGCAGCTATTATTAAACTGTCTGACAATGGGATGGTAACAATACGAAGTCCAGCCTTGCAGCATGCCTTGAACAATGGTCTTACACCTCCGCCAAAACCCGATTTTATAGTGAAAGGTGAATTTTTGAATGAAAACAGCAAACCCGCATCGGGACAAAAAAGTGCAAATATATCTTCGAGCTTAGCTGATCTAAGAAGTCGTCTCACACCCGATTGTACTGGTATCACTGGTCTTGCTAATATACAAATAAGTAAAGTAACTAGTGGACAACAAGTGATACCTGAGAATGGTATTAATTTAAAAGGAACCAGTGTTACATTAACAAAGGTCAAAAATCCAGATGTTAAATGTGATTTTGTTGGTGTTTCTTCTACTGTTGCCAATATAACAATCCCTCCGACAAATTCTCCTGGCGGTTTACCACATGAGCTCTCGTCAAATAATATTCCTAATAATTTTAATCAACATCAGCCGTTGCAGCATCATCAGCACCATCAACACCAGCAACAACTGCAAGATCAGCAACAGCAGCAGCAGCAGTCATTAGCGAAAGGAAAAAAAAAGAAAAAGAAAGGAAATGGTGCTAGATCATGCGGCGATGACTGGAATCTCGTTGGTGAGAATAAAAGACAAATATAAAATAGATTATTGATATATTTTTTCTTAAAAATGACAAATATTGTTATAGTATATTGTGCAACAAGTGCGACAACGTCGCACGAGTTGCACATACTATTTTGTATTACAAATGCGGTGATAATGTGGGTGGGTACAAAATTGGGGTCCAGGGGCAGAGCCCCGGCGGGTGGTTGGGGGGGCGGAGCTCCCCCAGTCCCTAAAAACTAATAAAAAGTTAAAATAAAAGAAACAAATATAAATCAAATAATAAATGCAAAGTAATTAATTAATATTAATTACTAAAAAATAAGTTTACACACTGAAACAATCAACACATAAAATTAAATGACATTAAAGTTAGCTGTCACCACAATTTTTTAATTTTCTTTAACAAACAAATTTTTTCCAAAAAATTATTCATAAAATTATCATAAAATTATTAAAATTATCATTTTTCTGCTAAATTAATTTTCATCACAATTAAACAGCTCAATATTAATAAATTATTTTCACTATCGTTAAAAATATTGTAATGTCAACCTCACTTCTTTAATATTGACAGTTAGATTGTGTTTTTTTTTTGTTATTTATTTTAATTTTAGCAGTTTTCACAGTCAATTGAATGCGACAAGGATAGTTTGAGTTCGCCAAGAATAATTTGCGTGC